TCTACAGCTCCCATTCTTTTCTCTCCTTTGGGATTTTGGTGATTCCATTAGTGGAAGTTTTCATAGGTATGGTTGGTCCATCTAGAATGACTCCCCATAGATCAGGATTTTTGCCGATAAGATGATCCCTCATACGATTCTTCCACCATCCATAGTATTTTTCATTGAATGTTGGTGGTCGTGTTTGTGAAGCTCCCTCTTGTGGGGTAGGTGGTGCTTCCATTGAGTCTTTTCAAGGTATAAATCTTTTATCGAAAAGACCCACTCTGATACCTATTGAAGAAACCTTACCCCTAAAACAAGAACCAGGTTCTTAAAGTTGGTTTACAGCAGAACACAAACACTTTTGAAACTAAAAACCTTCCTAAATCAAGGGAAGGGAAAAAATTGTTTTAATAATTCAACTGGATGATTTTATGATTACAACTCAATAATCAATAACCTCACCACTACAACAACTCTCGATTAACTATAATCGACTACTTGTACTCTCCAAGAGCCAAACCCACCTCTTGTTACAAACCTCACCAAAACTCGACTCTACAAGAAGCCAAACACACTTCTTGTACAATGACAACCTAACTAGCAACTCAAACAATGAATTAGAGAAACAGTTTACACGCTCAAGACTTTCTAACTCAAAAATTTCTTGAACTTTGTAATAATCTTGATGTCACCTGCTTTTTTACTTGATGAATGGCTCTCGCTCGCTTTCGATGTAAAAGTCTTTCCTTGCTCTTCTGCGTTTGATCTCCTTTTATAGAAATTTCTCTTGCCTTGTATCCTTACCAAATAAGGTAAGGAAGTTACAATTGTAGTTAAACAAGGAGTACTAATTTTGCCTTGTACAATTCTTTTTCTGCACAACTTCCTTTCATAATAAAATATGTTAAAGTTTCCTTATTTGTTTCAACTTGTATTTTCAGCATCTTGAGCACTTGTACATTTAATCGCTTAATTCCGGTGGCTGCGATATTTCATTCCGTTGGCTGCGACAGTTCTGGCAAAACTCATATACGTATATATTTGCATTTATTGGCTATCATCAAAACACCTATTTTATAGGATTGTAGAATTATCATACTCTATCAATCTCTTATACTAATAAAAACTAGATACATATAATCATATCTCAATAATATGTCAAATACATGTGTAAATCTCCACTTATTGAAAAAATTTTATTACGTTCGTGGGTGGTGAGAGCATCTCATAGTGGTAGTGTTTGCTTTACCTTTTGATTCAACAGTGTTGCTCACTGCACCTAGATCTGACTGGAGAAGTGACATGAAGTTTCTTGGTTGATCTGTGCAATTGGTGTCATTGTCAAATGTCGAATTTGATAAATCTATTGATCTTGGAATCTACGGTTATAATTATACCCATTGTCTCTGCGCGCGAGAGGTGTCTTCCCTTGCGAGAAAATATGGAGGATTTGTGGAGAATGGTTTAAGAGTGAGATAATTAAAGGCTAAGAATTTGATGTATGTGTTGACAAGTTGTAGATCATTTATTTTAATAGAGTGTTTCTTCACAATAAATTTTGACTGATTAAGGAAAGAGGAAGAGTCAGAGTTTAACTTGAAGAGGAAGAGCTAGAGTTCGTCTCTAACTCATACTCTTGTTTTTATTAAAACACTATTTTGGAGTTTTAATGTAAAAATAATTAATCAATCATAGTTTTAATGAGTATTGATTATGTCTTCAATAATATATGATATAAAATATTAAACGTAATGGTATATGTAATTGTTTGAAAATAAAGGTAAAATTAGGATATGTGGTAGTGATGTGTGCGTAATATAAGGTAGTTTGACATGCTCTTTCTCTTATCGTTTCATTCATTTCTGTCTATTTTACTTTACAACTTGAAATTAGATTATGTTTTTATTGTGTCAAACATACATTCAGTAGCAGAGTAAGATTTCAGTTGCTATGAACATATGACATATATTTCATATCTTTTTTTTTATTATCAGTCTTCTTCATTTTATTATTACATTTTTTCAACTTTTATCCCTTTTTCCACACTTCCTACCCATCTTATGAACTGCAATGATACATAGAATTTAAGTGTTATTCGAAATGACTCACAAAACATTTACTTTCATGATAATGTTTATTTAAAAGGTTCAGTTTTGTCTCTTTCTTCTTCTTTTACTAAAATCACCTCCAATCCAACATCAAATTCTATATTTGGTATAAAATTTGATATTTTGAGCTTCAATCCGCACCAATTTCAAACCAAATTTGTTGTAACACTATTCAAGACAGGTAGTCAAAACAAGGGTAGAAAGGAGAATCATAGAATGAATAAAAGGTAAGGGTCGAAGGACTTTTTGAAATCCGATCGGTGTAAACATGATATTCATTTTTCTTTGTCCTTTCTTAGCTTCCCCCAAACACCAATTAATTTTTTAAATATTATAATATTATTTCATTGTACAAACTTTTAATTAAACATTATGTTATTTGTATGTTTTAATTAAATATCTTGTATATTTAACTATTTTTATGTAATATTTGTATAATATTAATTTTAGATATAAAATATAGCTTTTTTTAAAATTAATTTTTCTATATATGATTTTTAAAAAAATATGTTAATTCTACTATAAACTATATAGATTACGACTAACTTTCATAAAAATAAAAAAATGCAAACGTATAAATTTTTAAGCAAATAATACTCCGATTATAGAAATAGCAATAGATGAAAATTATCAATTTGATTGTATTTCATTAATGATTTCACTTTTATTTGTATTTATCCATTATTATGTATAATGTATCATATTTGCTAGCAATTTATGTTATTTCAATAAATTATGGTACAAAATAATTTTATATTAAACGATTATAATAGGAAATAATATGAATCATATATGGTCAATGTTTTAGAAAGAAATTGTTTTATGAAATAAGAAATAACAATATAATAATGAAGAAAGAAAAAAAATCTTTTTTTGTGTAAAATTTTATGCAGTGGATTGATGTTGTTTACAACAAATTTGATGCTGACACCAAATTTGGCGTTTGGGTCGGAGATGTCCTAATAATATCATGTTCTATTTGTTCAAATTTATGAAACGCAATTTGCTATTACTCATGTTAATTAAAAGTATTAATTGATTGAATCGTCTATTTTTTTATTAAAGGCATAATACATAAATATTGGTCTCATTTCACATTTATGTCTTTCAACTTAGGGTGTGCACAAGTAGGCACTTAAACTTGTACTTATACAAATAGACACACACATCCTATGTGGTATCCTACATGGTGTCCTACGTCCGTAGCGTAGCCAGAAATTTAGGAAGGGTGTCCAAAAATCTCATAGCTCGTAAAAATAATTTAAAAAATTGGTGTATTTAAATTTTGTGAATCAAACTACATAACATTAACGATGAATTTTTTAAATTAAAATTTATTAAAAAAAGTTAAAATCAAACTTCATAATATTTAGCTTTAGTGTCACGTTTATTGATAGGAAGTGACAAATAAAGAAAAAGAGGGATATTTCAGTTTAGAGTGAAATCGCTTTTATGCTTCAACATTTCACAAACATCTGATGACTAACAACAAAAAATGAAAAATAAGTAATAGAATCAAACGAGTTATATTAAAAGAAAATTTATATAAAGTATTTTCACTTTTAGTAGCTTAATGGAATAAATAAATAGGATTTTCTTATTAACTTTAAATTAAATAATTCTTTTAAATTTTAATGAAAAGAAAAAAATCAAGTTGCAAAGAACTTAGTAAGAGTTGAACGACTAAAACCTCTAAGCTAGAAATTTTTTATTGTTTTTCAAGGATGTCCAAAATGTGTTATTTAACCATTTAAATTATTATTTTTCTTATAAATACGATGTAATTTTTTGACGAAACGCACGTGTCCTACGTGACACGTAGGACTCATGTGTCTACTTATTCAACTTTATATCAGTTTGAGTGTTTACTTGCGCAGAACCAAAGTTGAAGGACATAGATATAAAATGAGATAAAGTTAAAGGACACATTTATAAATTATGTCCTTATTAAATTTCAACTAGATTTCAAACCGAAATTAATTCAATTTGTTTTTGTTTCGTCTAGTTTAACTTAATTAGGATATCAAGCTCAAATTGAACCGCTAAATAAAGTAACTTTCAAGTTATGCAATTATATGTACATAAACCAAATCAGTATAAAATTCTAAAATAATTAAATTAATGTATATGTAATATATAAATTCATATTACATTATTAATATTGCTTTGTCTAAATGATATTTTTTGCTTTTTGCGGTTAAATCTACTTAATTTGGACATAAATCTTTTAAATTTTTGTCAAAATAAATTTTGAATATTTGGAAATTGCATTAAAAAAAATACTATAAATTACAATAATTGATAATTCAGAATATTTAAAATACATAAAGAATTATGATTTAAAAAATAGTTCATTTTTTAAATCCATTCGTTGTCACATCAATTGGACTGTCAATATCATAGAAAACTGAATTGTCAAATAACCAATATCAAAAAATTAAAAAAATAATATATTTTTCTGTAGCCAGTTCCTTTGCATTAACATATTTTCCCGTGTAAGCCATAACCACAAGATGTGATTACTGTAATATTTAAATGATTAAAAATTCTAGAATAATTCAATTAATTTATATGCAATATACATGTGAAATATTGTGGTAAATAAAATAGTTGCAATCTCAGCTAAATTTGAATTTGCCTATAAAACAAATCGTTGTATATTTGATTCAAAAAAGGTTACCATAAAAGTAAATTTTTCAAGCTCAATTTTAGTTGAATAATGACTAAAGTAATCCGTTTCAGCAGGAGTTCCTTTTTCTTCAATATTACTAGGAATAATACTATTTTTTTTTCTTTTTTCACATGGATTTCAAGTCCTATACAAATAAGGGAATATGGTTTATTGACATCTCTATATAATGTAGGGGGTAAGGTACTCAGTTAGATTACATTGAATTTATTATAAGCAAAAAAATAAGTTTTGTTGTCTATATTATTTGTTCAGATATGGCGAGGGATAACGAACTCCGTCCACTATGGTTGGAACCTCTACTAGATAATAATTTTTATGAACATGATTGTATATGTGAGGTACATAATCAATATTGTACATTTTTTTGTAAAATGTGCAAAAACAAACCTCTTTGTGAATCATGTTGGAGGGTTGATGCAGAAGCTGAACATGAACTTCACCAATTTTTACAGGTACATAATCATCAATCCTTCACCAAAACAACACTTGTTAGAGCTGCTATAAATTTATTTTTTTTTTTAACATAATGCGCAGATATTTAAAGTATCGGAAAAAGCATCGGTTCGAAAAGCTGATATAGAAAGTGAGGTAGATGTTAGGAAAATTCAGCCGTATGTAATAAACAATCACAAAGTTATATTGCTGAAGCCAAAAGGAGGAAACGGGGGAAACCCTAAGTGCGTCATATGCGAAGGAAAAATCAAGGATGAATTCTATGATTATTGCTCAGTTTCTTGCAAAGTAAGTACACTCCAACTTCATTAGGATAATGTACTTTGTTAGAATAACTTTTTTAACTAACAACATATAACACAATATATATTGCAGATAATTGGAGATACAAGGCAACTCGACAAGGTTGAACTTGCTGGAAAATATAATAGAAGAAAGAGAACGCCCTGTAGATCACCTTTGCTGTAGAATGATACTTGCAATTTTAAATCAGTTTACGTTTTAATTTTCTAGGGTAAAATTTGTTTATATGTTTCTCAACACGACGATATATCTATAACTCAATTTCATATATTGTCGCTTTTTGAATTCCAACTAGTTATCAATATTTCCCTTTCTCGTCTATACCATCAACTTAGTTTTCACAATAAACACATAAGGGTGCTTTATTCAATTTCAGGCAATAAAGAAGGAAGTATTCATATATAATATTATTGAAGATCAAGTTTCTAAGAAACCTGCAGTAAATTACGATATATCCTCAGTTAATTCATGATTTATTCGATGAAAAAAATATTCAAAAATCAGATAATTCTGTTGAAATTGTCATATTATAAAACTAGTATCAAACAACAAAGGCTGCTGAGAAAACCCAGCTTGCCTTTAAGCTTAGAGAAAGGCAGCATTATCTGGAATAATGCAAGCAATTGCTAGTTTACCAACCAATCGAACAACAAAAATAAGTATGATGTTCTCTCTACAGAACAAAAGCTTCTAATACATATTAACAAAAATGAAATAACGTAAATTAATATGGACAGCTGAATATTTAAAATACCTTCATCGCAAAGAGGCTGTGAAATGCCTTGACATTACACTGTCACTACAGCTGCAAGGTAGCAAAGAAGCCATTTGTATGGAAAGTTATCTTTCATGGAGATGCCCTGTGATTGACGGCCCATAGCAGGAGATATCCATGAACAGAACGCATATATGATTCGGTCATTCGGAAAAGTTTCTTCAGCCAATAAGACTCAAAAGTTATCTCCAAGCGCTATGATGGTTGGATCCTCTAAAAATTGCTGCTGCGTTCATGTCAGATCCTCCAAAAACACAACAATTATGCATTTTAGGAGGATCCTCACAGGTGCAGCAACATTCATTTTTAGGATCCGAGCGACCTAGTGTTCAACCATCAGTTTCCATAAAGAGGCTCCTCGCCGTTACATAATTAAGAAAAATTCACATACCTTAAATAACTCAGACCCTTTCCCAACAACAAAGAATTCACATACCTTAAATAACTCAGACCCTTTCCCAGCAACAAAGAAATAAGTCTCCCAGAACGCTACAAAGAACACGTTACACTTCCGACCCACCTTGTTAAAAATAGCAAGCAGACACATGACAATAGAAAATATATTTATGGTAAAATCATCACAGTGCATGAATTCACTCTGTAACTTTGAGAGCAAAAGGAAACAGTTCTAAGGAAGATCTGGATTACCACAGGTCATATGAATAGATTAGAGTAGTCTATTTTTAGGGAGGCATTACCTGCAAGCTCTTTCCTATTTCAACACAAAAGTGAAGCTGAAGTTTTGTGAGAATAGGAATGATTCAGACACTAGGGGAAAAAAGGAGAGATGAAAATTCAAGTGTGGCAAACAAATTTAAAGAATTCCTTAGAGAAAGTTCCATGTAACTGATCTATTCATCCAACGAAAGAGGCCAATTCAACCAGTAGGGAGTAGTTCGATTACACAACAATGTGCACCCTATCACATGATGATGATCTAGAATTAAATGAAAAAAGATCCAAACTTCATTACAGGAATTTGACATGCTATATGGGGCAATCATTATACTCAAAATTTTAAGTATATCAAGATCACTAAGAATATAATTAAACATTTTTGCAAGACAAAAATAATTTTAATACATGCTCCAAAATCACCAAAAAAACTCGTGCAACTTGATGCTTTCTTGGTGGTAAATTATCATATTATGCAGGCATGTCTATAGTTCTACATCCCATTATCAAATGGTTATTAGACTGGTTTAATAGGTTGCAATTAGTTGTGCCCTACTTTGGCAATCTTTTATCAAAACATGGTTATGCACATTTCCAGTAAAGTTGGGTTGTTGAAACCAAAAGAACATGTCTCAGACAAGTTTCTTCAGCCAATGAGACTCAAACTTATGTCCAAGTGCTATGATGATTGGATCCTCTAAAAATTGTTGTTGCATTCATGTAGGATCCTCCAAAGACACAAAAATTATGTATTTTTGGAGGATCCGTCACGCATGCAGCGATATTTTCTTTAAGGATCTGAGCAACTTGTAGAAAAGAACTCCTAGCCGTTATATAATTAAGAAAAGTTCACATACCTCAAATAACCCAGACCTTTCCCAACAATGAGGAAGTAAGTATTACCTAAAATGCTAAAAAGTAAGAGTTCCACTTCTAACCCACCTTGTTAAATATATCAAGCAGAAACTTAAGCAAAAATCATCGCAATGCATGAATTCACTCTGTAGCTTTGAAAACAAAAGGAACCAGTTCTAAGGCGAATCTGGATTACCACAGGACATATGCATAGAGTAGTCTATGAGAGTGGCATTAGGAAAAGGCTTTTTTTGATGCATTACCTGCGAGCTCCTTCCTATTTTAATACAAAAGTGAAACTGAAGTTTTGTGAGAATAGGAATGATTCAGACACACTAAAAAGGTAGCAAGAGCTGAAAATAGGCATTTACGAGAAAATTCAAGTGACGCAAATAAATTTGAAGTCATTCCCTAATGGAGGAAATTTCTAGGTTGTCACTTGTCGTGTATGACTTGTTTCTAATCACCATAGTTCCTATTGTTTACTCAGCAAAACAAAGAATTGAAACTCTATATAACTGATCAATGTATCCAATGGAAGATGTCAATTCAACCAGCAGGAGTAGTTAGATTACATAACCGCGGGCACCCTATTACATGATATGATCTAGCATTAAATGATAAGAAGATCCAAAATTTCATTAAAGGAATTTGACATGCAATATGGTGCAATTGTTATGCTCAAAATTATAGATAAGTATATCAAGATTTAAGTATGATATACAATTTAACATTTTTGCAAGAGAAGTATAGTTTTAAGCATGTTCCAAAATGACAAAAGTAAACTCAATTACATAACCGCGGGCACCCTATTACATGATATGATCTAGCATTAAATGATAAGAAGATCCAAAAATTCATTAAAGCAATTTGACATGCAATATGGTGCAATTGTTATAGATAAGTATATCAAGATTTAAGTATGATATACAATTTAACATTTTTGCACGAGAAGGATAGTTTTAAGCATGTTCCAAAATGACGAAAGTAAAATCGATTGACTTGATGCTTCTTGCTATTTGATCATTATGCTGGCGTGTCTATAGTTCTACATTCCACAATCAAACGGTTATTGATCTGTTTTATAGTAGCAATCAGTTGTGTCCTACTTTGTCTATCTTTTATCAAAACATGGTTATGCACATATTTTTTATAGAAGTTAACTAAGAGGCAAGTGCTTGTACCCAAACATCATAGACAGCAGATTAGATTTTAACTAAATTATCATTAACCTTCACGGTCAGAACTTACAGTTATTTGTTGGTAGTTGGTAATAAGGGTCTGTGGACCCCTTAGAAAGAAACTACTGGAGCTGTTTTCTAAAGCACGCGGAGGCGTCTCCAATACCTCCTTTGACCTACCTACAAGGGGAAGATTGGAAAGATGGTCACCCCAAATATCATAAGTAAACTTTTCCTCCATACCCATCTTTTTATCAGTTTTAAGTGCCATCTGATTTGGAGGTTTAGATCCAGGAGCTCGTAAATGAGGAGCAATTACAGAACTTGAAGCCAGAACTGGTTGACGACACATCAAGCGAGGAACAGATTTATCAGCACAAGGGAAGGTTGCTGAAGGCAGAAGAACAGGTTTGCTGGCTGATCTTTTAGGTGCACCAGGCTTCTCTTGAGGAGGACAAGAATTTTTTCCACCATCCGTTAATGTTACCTCTCTCTGCAAGACATTCCTCTGAGATGCAAATTCGGAGTGTATATTTTTTTTACATTGATGACTACCAACATCAGCAAAGGGATTGATGAGCTTAACAGGTCGATCCACAACAGCAGACTGGGGAGATGGCCGACGAGGTGTTAAATTTGAGGTAGGAGACAGGGGTGATGATGGTGTAGAATTGCCACTATGACTACTTGAAACATCAAAAAGTCCAACCAAAGCAGTCGCAGAATTCTTTTTCTTCTTCCGCCTCCTCCCTTTTTCTTTTGCAATTTTGACAGTGAGATTACCAGTTTTTGAGGTTTCATATGTATCAGAACTCTGAATTGCTACAGGCTTTGTAGAGGACGACACCTCCATTCCCTTTTGGGTATCTGATGCAGAGTTATATCCTGCACAATGATTCACATTCTGATCAGTTACACTTTGATTTTGGGAGACAGCTTGAATATCTTCACATGCACTGAAACTTTCAACTGACAGAGCCTCACCTTCCCCAATTGACCGAAGCAAACTGTTCAATTTAAAGGAGAAGACAAACTTGCCAATCTGTTTCTCAGTGGGATGCATGCGAGACAATTTTCCAGCATGACTAACAGATGTCATATAGCTTTTTCCACTCTTAGGCAAGCACTCATGGGAGCCAAAGGCCACCACTTGGGGTATGATGCACCACAGAACTAGAAAGAATAAAGAAGTTAGAAAGAGAATAGTGACGAGCAATTTCTTCACCCTCGTCCAGAACAAAGACCTCTTGCAGAAATGAAGCACACAGATAGGAAGGCTAGCTTTCATTGGTATAACAAGTATGCCAGTTGCCAAAGCCAGTTCAAGATCTCTATGTATAGTGGCAGCAGAAAAATCAGTATGATATGATATCTCAAGCTTTATAGACTCCTCAGGTTCAAGAGAAAAGCCTTTACAACCATTTATTACGAACCCATCTGTTCCACACTCTGTTCCAGAGATTTCAATTTTTTTGACCTCCAAGGGGAAGTCACCCACGTTCTTTGCATGAAGCTCCTTTGACAATGACAGAGAACATGCATGAAATTTATCCTTCATGTTATATAGCACACCCGAAGAAGAGAGATTAAGAGGGGTTGGCATGTTTAATTTGAAATCCAAGTTCTGCACAGGTACAGATGCATCAAGCAAGACCAAAGAAAGCAACCCCCCAGAACCTTTGAGACTTAACCACTCCACACCAGAAAGATTGTTCCTGAGCAATGCTGAACTTCTCCACTGACATCGAGCTGCAGGTTGAAATAAAATTGGACCAAATGATGCT